CTGAGCAAAGTGGGTGAGGGAAGCATATTTGGGGACCTCAGAGAAAACAGGTGTATATTTGTGGTAGACAGAGAGAAAGATGCAATGGGGAGAGGGCTGACCAATATGGAACAGCCTGCTTGCAGGCAATATTGTCCCAGGGTAGTAAGGGGGGAAAAAGTGATGCAAAATAACCTGCCTTGGGCACTCATCAGCCTTCTTCAGCTTCATTCTGCCCCTTGCACAGCACAGCATCCCCCTTCAGGCACCAGGCTCTGGTGGGCTGTTGGCACATCAAAGGGCTTCTTCCTCTAGACTCATTTCAGTTGGGCTGTATGCCTGAAAACCTATTAAGACCTGAAAATGAAAACACTAATATGGAAACACCTCTAGCTCCTTAGAGAGACACAGAGACACATGCACCTTCAGAGATCTTAAGCTACAGTCCTACCTTCTACTTCCCTTTGCAGAGCCTCAGGTCCTGCCTTAGGCCTTTACGACATGTACTTAAATTTCAGGACCTTGAGTCAATCTCTCACGTTTCCCATCACGAAGAACTGGTCAGAGGTGCGAGTCCAAAATATGCACTCACAATTACCTGAGGTTGTCTTTTTAAATCAGTTTAAAGTATTTTTCAGACACTACACTTTTTCAGAGACCAGACCCTGTAAGGAAATGGGAAGTGTAACATGAGGATTAGTTTTTAATATTAATAAAAGTATATTTTCCAGAAGGTTCATTGGAATTGCTATACCAGAATGAAAATTGGTCTTTCTTTTTTGGCATAGGGAAACCTTCAAGGTACTCAGACAATATGTAGCAGAGATGCTGAATTTCTAAGGGCAGCAACTGTACATTCACTAGATATTCAGCTTTTTTAATATTTTGTTTGATGTAAGAAACATCTTAAGGCATCGAATGAACCAAATCACATTTAAAGTACCAGGCTGAAGTATTGATAGCTACGTACTCATGTTCAACTGTCCACTTTGAGGTGTTCTGTCAAAGTCTAAGTGCACAAAATATTGTTGTGGAATCAAGTACTAAATTGGAAAATGGTATTTTTCATTATTCTCATCTCAAAGCATATTGATACTGTATATTATTGGTTTGCATTCTTATGAATTCTAGTCTGAACAGATAAAACTTCAAATTGCTGGTTTTAAAAAATAACACACTTACAACTCGTTTGTCTCCACAAACTTCTTGCTGCTCTTAATTAACAAAATAAAATGGTCAACATTTAAAAATATGCTGATTTTATTTCAAAGGTGCCTTCATGCTACTGGAATGCAAAGCTCTTTTGAAAAATCTGGAATTGTATTTTTTAAACAGATATAGGAAACAAAAGGTATCCATCCACTGATGAAATCCAGAATAACAGACATTCAAATAGGTAACACTTTCATAATAAAAATTATGCTAACACCATAACCTAGCATATGGTTCATTCTATGAACGTCAGATCATCTAAAATTTCCATCATAAAGAAAAACAAATCAAATATATTTAATTATACTTAAAAGTACATATTTTTGGTATAATATACAACATGAGTTCAATAGGCACAGTACTATAAAGAATTTTTTTTATTACACTTATTTAAGAATATCATGACAAAGAGAACAAATTACATTTTATGCTACGGGTTGGTTTGGTTGCTCTCTTTTGTTAAAATATTTACTTTCACTTGCATACAGATTTTCAGCAAAAGCTGATAGCTCATTATAATTATTTTTTTTCATTGTCACTGGGCTGCATTGACTTAGGAAATACTTCTATTCATTACATGTTATGTGTGAGATGAGAGGCTGCAACATAAAGCCCGGGTTTTGACATATGCATATGAAGCTCACTATGCTTTAAATAGGAATCTCCTGCAGGTATTTAAATGAAAAATATAGCCATTTAATAAATCTTTAAGTTATATTTTTCTATTTCAAGGTTAGTGAGAACACAGTTTAAAATTTTCCCTCTTTGGTAAAAGACTGAATTTCCAGCCAACTTGCTCTCAAAGTGCAAGTCTGGACGCAGTCACTGCTGAATATTGTGTGAGGTCAGTGCACAAACCCCTGCTGCATTACCAACCAGTGCTCACCTGCAGCTGAGGCAGGCAGGCAGAAAACAAAACAAAACAAAACAAAACACAACCCTAATAGCATTTCATTCTCACAACATTACTTTTATCTTCTTGAAATTAAAAGTATTGATTAAGCCCCCACGAGCTTAGCTCTTTGAAATATAGGGGTTTACAAAGGAAAAAAAAATCAATTTATGGGCTAATTTTGTCTCTTAAATGTTGCATATTTAATGCCTGGTTACAAAAGCCTCACTGATGAATACAGCAGTTACACAGAGTACTTGACAGAGATCATTGGGATACCCTGGTGGAGTACCAAAAGTTCACATCATTAGCTCAGTTCTGCATGAGGAGCATTTAAACATGAAATAAATAAATTTGGGATTGGGGGCGGGGGGGGGGGGAGGACTTTCATACCATGAAATCCCTTAATCTACTGCAATTTGCAATGACACACTTTCTGCTGGTTTAGGTAACTGTTTCATTCATGTAACCATTAAACAATGTCCCTTAAACAACTCTTGCTTTCACTGGTACAACTGTGCACATAACATAAACGGGCAAAGGAAAAACATTCAACTGGCAGCTGATTAGTTTTAGATTCTGCTATTACCAGCAGAGCTTTTACTGAGCTGTTAGCACATGCCAACACTGTGATAGCTGAATGCCACAGCAATGCACTGAAAGGAGGGAGATGATTTGGGAGCAGAGAGGAGGGGAACTGTCATTAACAGATAGCAGGCTTCTGTTCTCAGTGTTGTCAGTGTCCTGTCAAAATTTGTTTCTAGTGTATGCCTTCTTGACAAGGACAGTGCCTGAGTTACCATCGTTAAACCCCTTCAACTGTTGTAGCTTTGGATTCAAAATATCTGGGGTTTGTACTCTCTTAGGAACAAACTTGAGATCCCATGGACAGCCACGGTAGCTTCGTGTGTCGTTCAAGGATCAGGATGCGACCCCTTTATTTATGGACAGTTAATATAAATAAACACATGAGACTCACTATGAAAATGTTGGATTTTGATGACACTTAAAGCTGGATTACAACATCATTCCAATATATTTATCATGGAAAATGAATGTGTAACCCTTGGAGGTGTACAAATAAGAAGTAGGTACTGAAAGACATTTGTAAGTGCTAAAAAAGTCCCCAGAAAATAGATTTGCAGATTATTTGGAACTAGTATCAACCGAGATCAGCTAAAGCCAAATATTTCTAATGCAAAGCAAAGAAAAAACAGAGCCATAATTTGCCCTTGCAGCTCATTCATCTTTTGTCCCTGCCTGGCATTTTGCACTGTTTCCATTTCAAAAAAGCTTTCCTCTGGCTTCATTTTTGAAGTTATAATTCTCGTTATCTGTAGAAAGGGGTGTGACAGAATTAGTCTTACTGCTAAACAAGGCAGGCAGTGTCCATAACCCTTACCTATCATATGCTTCCAAGTGGGGAAAAAAAAAAAAAAAAACCAAAAGAAAAAAGAAAATAAAAGAAGTTTTGATTTCAATGTAATAAACAGAAATCCCACAAAATAATATTTGAAATATTATGCACACACGGTAGCTTCTCTGTTCTTCCTGAAGTTTTTTAGGTTTTCTTAATTGGTCTAGCAAAAAAAACCCTTCACCTTTCCTGTTGTTTCAGCTGTATCCCACACATGCTCCCACCATTCTTCCATCTTCGCTGATGTGTGCAATAGCACAAAAATAAATTATTTTGCAAAATAACATTTAAATAAAGGTACTAATTTAAAATGTACAACTCCCTCAGACTTCATCATTAAATGATACTCTGGAACTGTTATGTGGTCCAGAGTGATGTAATATTCTTAACGTTCAAAGACATTATGCATTCTATCATCCATCCCTTTACAGATTACTTAATTTATCCTGTCTTTTACAAACAATATATATATAAAAAGAATTATTAAGAATTCAAAGGGTGGACTAATTTTTCAAGCATGATGTAGGATGTCTCTTTTGTTGAGAGCCTGAGTGGAACAGAGATTCTACTTACGATGTGAAATCATGGTTAAACATGGTAACAATGTATTAGGTGGATTGTCTCTGAAACAAATGAAATGGCTAAATCTTGTGAACAATGACTATTAGATTTACAGAATTTAATTCTTGACAAAAAGAAGGGAGGAAGTATATAGTAGATATGATATTTTATGCACTTGTACTTAATTTGTAATTAAAATTAAATTCACATCACTGTTTTTAGAAGAAGAGGGACTTACTCATGGAAAGGTGTTTTCCTATTTGTGGCTTTATTTTCTTGGTTGTTTTGTAATGTATCTGTCCAATATGGCTACCTCTTTGTTATTCTTGTTATTGTTAGATTAAAAGAATGAAATAGAAAAAGTAACACGACTCCACGTATGGACCCAAGCGTGGATTTACAACAGTGCTTAAAGTGCTTTCTTATTTGAGGAGACACTTACACAAATGCCTTTTCATGCTTATCTCCTTGTCATCATGGACTATATGCTTGTTGCTTGCTCTTATGTCATTTATAATATAATGATTGGGTATTAAGTTCATACTCAGAGTTTAGTATATTGTTATTAAAAACATCTGAAAACAGGAAAATGACAATTCTATTTGTTTATTATTACAGCAATTTGAAAATTTTATTAAATATTTAAGTGCTTCATTTCATCATTTATTCCTTTGCTTCCAGGGTTGCTTAAAGCACTATGTAAGTACAAATAGATCATACTAAAAGCATATCCATCCTATTCTGGGGGTTTGACTAGGATTATTTTACTGATGTCTTGCAGAACAGGGGTGAATTTATGATCCCACGTGACCATTTATCTGCTGATGCCGCAAGGTGTCTTGCCTCCAGGATTGGTTTCCATGTACATGGCTCACCGTATCTTATGAATATTTATACATCATTATGTCTTGTTAAGTGGCAGTGCTGTAATGTGAGATGTCAAGTAGTATACTTTAATTTGCCAGTACCAGAAGTTGTGGGAGCAGCAGAAGCTGTGGCTTGACTGCCTACGTACAAAGGGTCCAAACAAGCCACTTTGGCTGCAAAGAATGAGTGGATACAGTGAAGGACTGCAAACAGGTTGGAAAACTCCAGCTCCTGGAAGTGAAAACAAAAAGATTAAACATGAAATAAAACAACATCTCTGAAGCATATACCCAGGAATGAATCACTATTCAAATAGCAATAGCTTGATGCAATTCTCCTAATGTGCCCGATAATTCTCCATTAGAGGGACTTAGACAGTCTATACTTGTTTGAAAGCTAAGATGGACAAATTTCTGAGCTTAGTGCCTCCATAGAGATATGAGATCCTACTGGTAAAGGGGAAGGAAAGTGACACTGCATTTCTGTATTCTTTTTTTCTTCCTCCAGTTAATGCAAATCTGGCACTTTTGCAGATTAATTTGGATAGAAATTGAATGATTGCACCATAACAGCCTACATATCTCTGGACTATGTATACCCAATGTACCACAAAGATCAACACTGTTGAGTTCCACATACATTACATTTGTTCATCATGTCACCTTAAACTGGTAGCTACTATCTTACCTATGCTGATTCTTTAACTAAAAAAAAATCCCACAAACCAACCAAACCCTACATATATTCAAAAAGTACATATGGTTAGACTAGCTGTGACTCTTTTAGACACCACTGCACAGGAAAAACTACATTTTTTTTCCTCCTTTGTGTCTAATTGACTTTGTCAATAGCTTTTAGGTTTTGGTTTTAGGTTATGTGGTTTTGGAGTTGGCATTTAATCAATAAATATCTGTTGTATTTGAAAGCAAATGCTGAGGTATTCGGATACATATAAGTGTAGGGACGGTGGTGCAGAGTTGCCATCTTTCTGCTTTGATTCACTGCCTATACAGATTTCTTGACTATAATATGAAGCCAGTGATAGATATCTGTTGTATATTCTATTTGTCTTTCTGTCCAGCACACGTATTTTAGGACTACGTAGTGCCGAGGGTTCTGCTTTTTTGGTTAGAAGAATATTGATGATGTTGTAAATTCAACAAAAATTGCTAAATCGCTCAAAATGACGTTAACCTGCTATTTTCTGCCTCTTCAGTTTTCCTGGAAGATATTGCTTCATGTAATTCATGGAGACATTCACAAATCCCTCATGTATGAGAGGGAACAACTGCCTGGAAGCAGACAGCTGCACGTGCAGAGTGTCTAGTGATGCACTGAATGGGTGGAGCTTTGTTCAGCTCTCTTACAGCCTGAGCAGATGTCCTTCAGACATGCTCAGAAATTAATTTACAACAGCCCATGAGCTTCTTTAACCTCCCCTAACTACCAGTTTGCAATAAAGAAGATAAAGTTTATGCCAAGTTTCACAAACCTGCCATCTGTGTCCATTTCAAAAAATCTGTTTAGAGACATTGTCATTTTTAAACTTTGAGAGAAGAGCAATTTTATCACTATGCAAAAGCTTTTTTCCTCACTTAAATTTCAAAATGAGAAACTTTGTCATAGATAGGACAACAATGGAAATTCAAAGATGAGGAAATGAGGAATTGTGGAAGCTATTTCAGAGTAAGGATTACAAATCATTCAAGTCAAGTTACTCATCAGTTAACTCCTTTTTATTAATATAATATTATTTATCATTCTGGTACTATAAAGATAAAACTGAAGCTTAAGTTGAGAGAATAAATATTTAGTGGAACACTGAAATGTTTGTAATATCAATTCTATGTGTTATCCGCAGAAAAAATACATGTCCCCCTCTGCCTTAACAAAATAAGCCTATTAAAACAAATATTACAGTTTGAGAATTGTTCAAGTCAATTAGGTAACCCTACTAGCTGAAAGTTCTTGCTATCATAATTATGGCTACTGGACACTAAATTTTCACAGTGCATTAGTGCGATTATTACCAATAGTTATCACAGGTGTTTCTGTAACCTTTCACAAAGAAATTCCAGATTGAAAGGACAGAGATGGAAACAAAAACAAAAAGAAAGTCTCCCAGATGAAAAAAAAGAACAAACAAAACCCTCTTATTGCATTATATTAAAAAACAACTACATAAAAAATACATCTACAAAATCAAGCAATTATAAGTTTGTAAATGTGCATTATATTCTTAGAAAAAATATTTCATTTCATCCATACATAAAATACTTATAGAAGAATATATTTGTTCTCTCAATAAATGTTGTGTTACGTGGTCTCTATTAGCAGAGAAACTGATCTAAAATAGATATTAAACAGATAATCCCTGTGCAAGACATTTGGAAATTAAAAATTGAATCACACAAACCTACACAGCTGAGAAAGCTGAACTCAGAATGCAGTCACTGCAACTGAGCAATCACTCTGAAAATCCTACAGTTGTATACTTAAAATCCACTTAAAGATGATACAAATTTGAAGAGTACAGCGATGCTCACAGAAAAGCCCTCAAGGATTAATTGTTGAAAAAAAAAGCATTTTGGAGAATATGCTGAGAATACACTTGAAATGAGTGTAAATGTGAGTCTGGAAAATGGTGCAAGCATCCATCAAGACACCTTGAAAACACCTGAAAGTGAGCATTTTGTTCACATTACAACAGCAGTAACTCAGGCCATTTGTCTTATTTTGGATTTCTATGCAAGATACTTTTTCTACAAGATCATTTCAAGTACAGATTGATCAGCACGAATTGCTGTTAAGGTTGTATTAATTAATAAGTACTAATGCTAAATCCTTGAAATTACCCTTCTTCCTGTGCTGGTACCATATTTCTGACCTCTTCTGTTCTCCACACTCAGAGAGGCAGACAGTTGATTGGATCTTCATCTTGATGTGCTGAGTTTTATATTCACTTTGATTTTTGTGACACTCATCTTAGGAACTGAGCTAGTCTGAGAATAAAAGCTAACCTGATACAGCACAGCTCTGTGACCTCACCTCAGCTTTTCTGACAAAACTGTTGAGCTGTGAAAAAGCCCTGCAGGTTGAGAAAGGTGAAAGCACAGGCTGAAGTGTAGCTTTTGAGTTATACATATGTTGTACTAGGCACGGAGACTCAGCTCACAGAATACTGATTGCTGTATTTACTTACAGAGTCGAAATGGAAATTCCACGTAACAAGAAAAAGAGCACTGATGATGATTTTTATATACAAAACATATTGCTATATTATATCATATATACATATGTATGAAATCTCACAGATTTAAGATACTCTTCATTTTTGTCAGAAAACTGTAAAGCATTTTTTATTGCCATGGTCCAATACTTAGCCAGGTAAAATTTAAGTGCACAGCATTCTGAGTTTATTACAGTCCTGAGATTGTGTTACCCTCTGGAAGCTGCTGTGTTATTGGAGAGACACTACTGAATAATTAAACTACAGCTAAACAAATAGGTTAATAAATAGGCAACTAGATAGGAAGGTGCCTAAGTGAATCCCTTTGTGTCTTACAGGCAAGGAGAAAGCTTTGACCTTCTGTGCTTGTTTTTTTCAACCCAACCCCAACTGCTCAGTAAGAACAAGGGGACACGTAGGCTCCGTGTCCTACCAAGGCGACAGCTCTATTTTCTAGCTCACAGTTAGAAAAATTCCGTCTGACTGTGCAAACTTGTGCAATATCTCCTGCTGAGTGACAGCTGGGAAATAACCTACAGATTGGAATGTCTAAGGGGTATCGGTGATTAATGTTGCCCCTAAGTGGTTTTCGTCTCAGAAACCACGTAGACCTTGCCTTAGAAACCTTCAAAGTCAGGTGTTTGCATCCAGGCCCCCTGCCACGGACCCACTGGTGTGACCTATGGTAATTACTGTTCAGCTTTTTCATCCTGGAATTGCTTAAATCTACAAGGAAACAATTCTTTTATACTACACTCTGTACCTTAATAGTAACACAATATTAGTTAGAGAAGAAAAAGCATGAGTACAAAGTCTCCCAGAAAAAATAGCAGTATTTTAACAATACCTGAGGATAATCAAAATGTTTAAATATCTTACATTATTTTTAAGCTGAAAAGAAGTACACCTGGTTAAGCTGTAACTAAATCCACAGCACACATTGTGTATCTCAGAGCATGCTGTTTTAAATTTTAAGACAGGCATGAAGGACACTGTAAAAAACTTTGACAGCATTATAAAATACAAGTTATTCAGTGTAAGGGCCTTTCTATCAATTAGGAATATAAACGCTGGTGGCAAATTGTTCTGGGTTCAGCCAGGATAGGGTTAATGTTCATAAGTGGCCACAGCCTTGATAAACTAGCCAATGGGATAATCCATACTACAGTGACAATCATGTCCTCTATATAAGGGGAGGGGCTGGCTCATGCCATGGGCAGTCTGTTTTCAGCAGGTGGCATTGGTGTGAGGCTGGAGCAACGAGAGTTGTGTCTTGGGTACAGGGGTTTATTATCAATTGCTTCATATATTATTTCACTAAAATTATCACTGTTACCTCGCCTCTCTTTGCATTGCTCTATTAACTTTCCTTGTCTCAACCCACTGGCTTTTTTGTTTTATTTTCCTCATGATTCTCCTCCCCTAACACATGGCAGGGTCGGGGAGGAGAAAACAGTGGGCAGAGGCTGCTCGTGTTTAGCTGCTAACTGAGGTTAAACCATGGCACAAATGTATTTCTCAAGAAGACCCAACCAAACCTGCCTGATGAATGTATGTAGCTCTGCATTTTTTTTCCTCAAAACCCCTGTTTTTTCTAAATTATTATAATATTACCAATGATATCTCTGTATAGTCCATGAGAACACAGAAGAAATGCTGTAAAATTACGAAGACAGTACATTTAAAATTTAAAATGCTGGTTCATAGCAATTTTTTTTTTCCAAGCAATGTATTTCCAGAATAACAACAAATTTATTTAAACTGGATCAAAACTCAGTATCTAAGCATTCTGACACTCTTAATTCTCTCAATAATGAATAAATATTCTAAAGCTAACAGATATGACTGCATAGATATTACATGTTGTATTACACACATCTGGGATAGCAGGAGATACACAAGATGTGCAGCATTGTAAATGAAGACAGAAAGCATTTGTATTTTGAAAGCCCATAGTTTTTACAGGAAGGAATTATATAGAATCATTTGGGTTGGAAGAGAGTTTTTAAGATCATTGAATCCAACTGTAAACCCAGCTGTACCGAGCCCACCACTAAACCATGTCCTTAAGCACCACATCTACATGTCTTTCAAATCCCTTCAGGGACAGTGACTCCACCACTTCACCAGGCAGCCTGTTCCAGGGCTTGGCAAACCTTTTAGTGAAGAAGTTCTAATATCCAACCTAACCCTCACCTTGTGCAACTTGGAGGCCATTTCCTCTCATCCTATCGCTTGTTACCTGGAAAAAGAGACTGACTCCCTGTCTCACTACAACATCCTTTCTGGTCTCCCTTGAGCCTAGTCTTCTCCAGGTTAACCAATGCCACTTCCCTCAGCCTTTTCTCATAAGACTTGTTCTCCAGAGCCTTCACCAGCTTTGTTGCCCTTCTTTGGACACACTTCAGCACCTCAATGTCCTCCTTCTAGTGAGGGGTCTGAAACTGAACCTGGTATTTGAGGTGCAGTCTCATCAGTGCTGATCCCAGGGGGACGACCACTTCCCTAGTCCTGCTGGCCATACTAACTTCTGATACAAGCCAGGATGCTGTTGGCCTTCTGGGCCACCTGGGCACACTGCTAGCTCATATTCAGTCAGCTGTCAACCATGATAAAAGCAACGTTATTTAAAAAATAATGAACAAGAACAAAAAACTCTACAGCCAGACCGCCTCATCTTGCAGAAAGTAACTGAATTATACTGCATTAAATACATTATCACATTCCATCAGTGCCATAGCTGAAACTTGGAGATGGAGGTAAATAGACCTTGGAGGCCAGAAAGCAGGATTTCAGATCAGGTATGCATATGCTGTGGCATGTTCTGCACAAAGTGTGTTAGAGTCAGTGTTGAAAGGGAAAGAGCCCTCTTGGTTCTAGCAACTACCTTAAGCTGCATCAAAGTTGCCTGCTGTGCCCTGCTTCCACATTACTGCTTGGGAAGGCAGAATTGAAAAGCCCAAATATGTCAGGGCAGTAGCTCCTCAGAGTTTTTGGGTTCGTTCTCGACTGTGAGCTCTCGTTTCAATATATTCTGACTGTTCCCCATGTAATATAATGGGGAAAAAAAAATTATCTTCATGTAAAAATTATGTTACGCTGTATTTGCTGTTACAACAGCGGGTCTCCTGGCCATCTGAAGCACAGAGCTGCATTTAATAGGTGGTGATAGCTGTGGTCATGAATATTCATCACAACCTTTAACAGATGTTTTACAAAACTCCCATCATCTGATACCAAATGAAGCCAGCATACAGTATGCATGAAACCTGGCACTACAAGCATTTCTGAATATCTGATTAACATTTCCTAATGAGTCAAGAGTTCCCCAAATAGCTATGCCTCTAACTCTGTAATGCTAGTAAAGTCCAAAAAATAGAGGCTAGATTGTTCCACCTCTTCTCATGCTGAATAGTGCTTTAATTCCAGGAGAGACTTAAAGAATACTGAAGGGACCTATCCACAGAACTTTAAGCTAACCAAAGTTGAAAAATGGTTCATCTTTGCATTCATTTTATAGCCACATTTATCTATATTTCATAGACTAAGCAGCATACTTCAAAGGTAAACAAATTGGAATGGATAGAAGTGCTCACTATAAATGCCATAGAGCCAAAGACAAGATAATCAGACATTTTTTCATCATAATATGATTGGTATGCTTTGATCACCAAGAAAATGAATTAAAAGTTAAAAAAAAATATATATATTTCCAAATTGATCAATGCAACAGTATAAATTTCTAATAAAGAGAAGCAACCAGAGAGCATGACAGCATATTAATAAACATGCCAGCAAGTTTATACAATATTCTGCCTTCATAAGGTAGAAGGTGGATTTTCTACTTTCACAAAAGATAGAAGGATGAAATTTCCTGGAAATAAAGCTCTGTTCAGTTTAAGTGAGAATAACAATAGGTACAATAAAGGTACCAGGGTATCTCTAAGACTTATAAAGTGATTTGCATGACAGATTTAAATTAAAACTTGAAAACATTTTGATGAAAGCTATTTTTTATTCTTCAAAATCTAGACTTCATACTTTCTTTTTAAAATTTTTAAAAAAAAAAAGTATTAAAAATACTTTCTAGTTTTACTGCAATACAGCAACATTGTCCCATTCTTGGATTTCTATGAAGTTCCTTTAGTGCTAAAATCATGTATTAATACAATGGCAATAGCAGACAGATATTACAAAAATAATGATAAGTTTCATGCCTCATCTGTGCTTGGGCGCATAATATAATTTTCCAACTAGTTGCTGAAGAGAAAATCATCCTCATGACATTAGATTATGTTTTCTTATTAGAGATGAGAAGAAATTTTGTACTATTGAAACAATTTCTGAAGGAAATCAGAAGTAGGAAAATATTTATCATTGAGATACAGCAGAAGATGAAGGTATTGAAAGCCACAGTCCACCACATTTTGTTGCTGTCATTTTGATAGGAGCTTTTACATACCTTTACTGTACTGAGCACAACATTTAAAATCAAGTAAATAGTTGCTAGATAGAAAATAATAGCAAACAAAGAGACAGGAAGGAAAAAAAGGTGCATAATGTAGTTATTTGCATTTAAACTCATGACTGCCCCTGATACAATGCCTTTTTTCTTTATATACTTTATTATGTTGTGCATATTTAGCTCTTTTACACAAAAAAAATATTTTAACATTTCCTCTTTGCTCATGGAGCTATATTGTTATCACATTCATTCAGCAATTTGTGCTCTGACACGATCAGGAAAAGTGGTATAGTAAATGCTTCAAAAGCAAGGCTTCTAGATGGCCAAGAAAATAATCCTTAGGTTTACACAAAAATTTGGATTTTAGCAAAAAAGACCTTCAATTCAGACTCTAAGGCAGTTCCAGTTATCAAAGATCCTGGGAGATCACTTCTTACACATGCTGGGACAGTACGTGCCCCACCCTCAAAAGTCATAAATCAAACTAAGCATAAATCTCTCAGGGTTACTGTTTTCATAAATGAGCTCTTGACTCTAAAGCACAGCTGAAAATATAACATTTCTAATTTTGAATGACACAGAGACACAAAGCTTCAGTCTTGTACAGGTATATATGGTTAATCCACGTTGTTTGGGTTTTTTTTTTTTTTCCCCCTGAGAAATAAAGCCAGATTTTAGACCTCTGCTTTTATCTCCAAATTGACTTAAGAACATATTTTGCACCATTTCAGCATTGAGTGTAAAATGGGGCATTTAAACTCTCAGCCAGCTTTAGCAAAATAATTAAGAGGAGTGTTGGCACATATGCCTAAAACCATATATAGCGAGTCCTGGGTTTTATTATTTTTTAATGTAATTACACCTTTCAGAAGATTTTAAACTTGTAAAAATTCAAGCAATTGAATCACTTCTATTTTCTTGTAATTTCTTTGGTATCCTTTGCATTTCTTTGTGCTTTAATTTAATATTTCTAACTAATGTAGTTTAATTTATTCCTCTGTTTCCCTAGTTGCTTTCATAATTGCTTTTAATGTACATTGTCTTTATAAAACAAACAATTGTTTTTACCTTTGCTTCAATTTGTTTAGTATCTTGGTTTTGGAACAAAAATTTGATTTTGCTCTTCCCATCATCTGAAGAACCTTTGAGTTGGGAAAACTTGTACCTCCAAAGTACAGCCTAAAGGAAGAAAGAAAGAAACATAAAAAGCCATACACAAGTCAGTGTAGTTATCATTGAAAACTGTATTAGACATAGCTGATATCCTTCCATGGGACTTTTCAGCTCCACCATGATATATCATTAAATCAATTTAGTGTTATTTGATGTGTCTTTGATCATATGGGTATATTATACTTTGGCAGTGACTGAGTTCAGTCAGATTATATTTGTGAACTTTATTCTGAAATTCCTTTACCTGTATTTAATCCTGAATTAAAAAAAAAAAAAAGGACAGAGAGGGTTAGTACAATTCATTGTCATGCCAAAATCAGAGAATTTGTTCCACTGACTATCTGTGGTTTCCCATCTGAAGTGATAACCTGTTATAGAAGACCTCTCTTTCTTTGTACATTTAAAAATCTAGCTGTATTAACATAAACGGCTTATCAAATTTTTTTTAAAAAAACTAGTTTTAAATTATAAAATAAGAGGAAACCTTGTAATGAGAACTTATTTTGACTTTACTTACGAGAGTTCTAGTCAGAAATTTGAGCATCATTAATTCTAAGCATATCAGTGGCCTTTCAAGTAATTAGAATATGAATTACATTGTCTTGTTGAAAAAAAGACATATTACAGAATAAATATGCAATTAATAAAATTTACAGCTGGCTAGAAAAACATCTTTTTTTATATCTAATATGGATTTATGAAGCAAGAAAGACATTTCAAACTACATTGCTTAAAAGTGGAAAAAAGTTATTTTTTATTCCAGGTCTTTTCAGACCCATTTAAAGGTATCTCCCTCCATCCACCTTCCAGATATTTTGAAGCACTAACATTTTTCATTGTGACTTCAGGAGTATTTCATATAATTACAAGGTCATCCTCACTTACATTGTGCTGTTATTTTGAGGAGTTATTAATTTCACATGCATTAGACAACAAAGAAACTTAGGGCAAGAAGTGCAGTTCCACTTTCTTTGGTCTAAGTTTGTAAATGACTTACTTTCAGTGGCATAGCATGACACTTCCATCTATGCCCTTTGTCTGTATCTATAAATAATTTAGAATCTACTTGAAATTAAGCATAATATGAGGGAGGTCAAATGTGTAACTGTCCTAAATTTGTGCAGGTCCCTTTGATTTACGGTGTTTTGATCTCTTAATATTAATGACTGGCAAAAATCTCTAATGTGCACCAGCCTAAATAAAGTTAGTTGTGTTTGTCTTAGTCACCTGAAGTGGAAAAATACCCAAAGGATGGAATCTTAACTGTGGACATTACACAAAGAAAGTGCTAGAATTTATTTTCCAAAAAATTGTTTCTCTATCCTTGCCACTTCCAGATAAAAACCTCTCCATCTCAGTACCACTTTAATTCTCTGTGTATGTGACAGGTGAGCTCCCATCTACCATAAGCAGAGTTAAGGATATTCTGTTTCAGATAAACTAGAGGAATTTGGCAATTTCTGTGAAACTATATCATATTTGTTTCAAACGCTGTCCTCTTGAGATGACCAACCTGTGCTACAGAAAATAGAATAGCTTTCCTCACTTCTGTGTGCAATTCCTTTCACCTTGTTTGCTCAATGATTTTTACTTATGTCCTGTAGACAGTGATTTAAGAAAGCAAACCAAAACAACCATTCAGGTGGCCATGCTTTCTACCTATATTGTAGACTTTTTTTTTTCTTTACACACATATGTGACTCAACAGACCCTGTCAGAAGATCAAGATCATTGCCTTTCTCCAGGAACAGCAAATCTATTTAAGCACGTAATTTCCTAGATGAGAAATGCAAAAGGCATTGATGGTGTCTTTATCTCAGGAGAACAACAATAGAAAAATATGTTAGCTATCATCTTTCTCTTCTCTGATGATGTATGGCGAGGCCAGGAGAGAGGTGCAACAGTAACAAGGACCCTTAGATGGGCAGGCAAAATCCCAGGAGACCTGGCTTTATTCCAAATCAGGTTAAGTTCGACTAAATATGAAAACTGTTCAGAACTGCAGTACTTTGGCACTTCCCATGTTGTTTCACTACTAAATCATTCCCATTCATAGAAAAGATAATGACAGTCAAACCAAACCACAGGCATAAGTCAAGAGCACCCTTCAGTTTATGCATAACTTTGGTTTTGCAGAGCCCTACTTAGCAATGGCTGTTACTCCAATGCATTGCAAAATAAGGACTATAGAAGGAGGGCATGAAATCCTTCTTGAGAATAATCTCAGCAAGACTGCACTTCTTCCATCAGGATATCAAAATGATTTCCTAGAACTGACAATTCAACAGCATACTTTGCAGAGACTATTAAACACTCTTTGTCTAAAGAGGAAGGATTTAAAATGCCATTAACAATGCATGAAATGATTCCCAAGTGAAAGTACTACCTGTTTCTTTTGAGTACTCTTCAACACATTTGCACATATTTTTTTTCCCCAACAATGTCCACATGAAGGAGGCATATTTTGGTAAAAATAAGAGTGGGGAAGTGTTTTGAGTTTTAAGTCAAAAGTTTTGAGTTTTAATACAAAGTATTTCAAAGATTCAAACTAGTCATCCTAGCTACTTCTTTTGTACTAAAGAATTTCTGAACAACTGTTCCTTCATCCTGGCTTGAACTGGCATAACACTGGTTCATTTTGGTATGCTCTGGATGGGATAACACTGGTTCATTTTGGTATGCTCTGGACGGGATAACACTGGTTCATTTTGGTATGCTCTGGACAGGATAACACTGGTTCATTTTGGTATGCTCTGGACGGGATAACACTGGTTCATTTTGGTATGCTCTGGACAGGATAACACTGGTTCATTTCGGCATGCTCTGGACGCGTCCACATCTCAAAGTACCACAGAACATTAGAAGTATAACACATAGCTTAAACTAGATGTCCAAATTCTAGATGAATAAAATTGGGTGAATTAGTTAAGCATATGCCTGGTAAGACTCCTCAGTAAGATTTCTTGTCTCCTGCCAAAGAAGCTGAACTGCTGCCTTGTGCAGATAGAAGTGCGCATTTTGCATGTGTAGCAGATGTAGAAGATGGTGCAGACTGCTGTGAGTAGCAGTCAGATCACTCTTAAAATACAGTACCTTGGGGAACACTTGGTTACTTTCTCTTGTATTTTCTGTATCTTGTACACATTTTTTTTTTAAAATTATTTTCATTTTCATTACTACAAAATGCATAAGCAGTGAACAGTGACCAGACCTATCCTTTTTCAAGTACTACCTCATAGTGCCAGAGTAAGTAGGAGAAGCAAGACCTACTCACCTAAGAACCCAGTTTCACAGACTTGTGTGTTTATGACATTCCTGTTGCTACACAAGAGTTTCACATTATCTTTCAAGTTCCCTATGTGCTGACTTCAGTGTCACAGTGCTCGCTGTGGTGACTGCTCTGAATTCTAATTTTTAAAGGCTAAACCTGTATTAAGAGTAGGCACACTTGGGGATAGTGATATATAGCACAGTCAAAGTCAAGGGAATGATTTTTTTCATGTTTTTTGAACATGACAGTTCCTTGGAGCCATTTGCTGAATGCCTGCCTCAGAATGTTAACGTACATTGGTGTAATTTTGTACATATATACATACAGATGTATAGACTGACTTTTAAGCAGTAAGTACATCTGCAAAAACATGATGGCTTTTTCACAAATTGCAACCCTCCCTCCAAATGTGTCCCATAAATTATTCCTAAATCAGTTTTATGAATTATAAAACATAAGCAGAAGGACTTGCTTACTCATTTGAAGGTGCAGTGTTACTGAGCTCAACACTCTATAATACATTGTGATAGGACTTCTTTTAGTTACCAAAAGCAGCTTTTTCTCTTCAAGTGCTTTCTTTGCATAATCCTCAGTAACTGTGTGGAACTTGCATCACTGAGAATATTTTACAGGACTATATATAGAATTTTTAGGAAGCAGTAAATTTCTGTTTACCCTAAAATAGATTTTACAGTGGACCAGGTGGCAATTCCTTTTAAAGCACAAATTGCAACCAAGTTGAAAAAGCTTCTGTGGTAGATGCTGACATCAGCTACTGGTAAGGACCTTGAGACACTTCTCAAGTTGAGGCACACAACCTTACCTTGATAGAAGACCAAGATCAGAACTTGGTATTCACTACCTATTGCCTTTAAAAGGGAACTCTCAAGCCATGAGTAGAGACATAATTTATGAATTACAGCAAGCAGTCCATTTTAGAAGCTGTGAACCAAGCACATACTGAAATTACCACCAGCTTCACAATTTGCATACATTCAGTGTGGTCATGGAAAGTCTGACAAAGAATCCATGTTTTGAGAAATGCACTCTGAGAAGACAATCTCATTGAACAAATACTGCATGTCTCACGCATAACAGTGAAAACAAACAATAAGATATAAATCCTTTCCCCAATTATTATTCATCGATCATCTAGGCTGTTTTTTACATATTATGCCATTTAATAAAATTAACTTCAAAGAATACCAGAATGCAATGCAAACAAACAGTGCGGACAAGCTGACAAATTAGATTTAAGACTTCTCTTGAGATGTTACTAAATTACTGTAATAAGAAGTCAACAAAAAGTGAAATCCTATCTTCACTAAAATTAATAGGATTTTTTTTCCCTTTGACATATCTGAGACCAAGATTCTCCACCAATACTTTTTAATGAGAAATATTTTATTTATAAGTAATCATCTAGGACTCATTTATTCTAGTCTTTGTAACCAAATTACTGCCTATTATCTTCTACTGGTGTTATTTTGCTGTAATCACCCAAGGATGCTCTCTGCCTGCATATTTTTAATTTATAGATGGGACATAAATGCAATACATAAATAGTACATGGAAGAAAAGCTATTGACTTCAGTACTTGTAATACTTCGATGTTCTCCACAGTCACACAAATGAAAAACAATTATATTGCTCCTATTCTGGTGCTAAATCTAAAACACATATTCTGCAAGAGACCTTAGAAAATATTTTCACATTCATGTCATATATCAGTTTG